AAGTCACTAGGCCACATGGCAAATGCGTGTTTAACTTTCCAAGAAATTGCTGAAATGTTTTTGAAAATGTCTGTGCCAGTTCTCATTCCTGTAAGCAAGGTATAGGAGGAGTGCTAGTTCTGAATTTTCACCAGCATTTGGTATTGCAGCTCTTTTTTCTTTTCATTTCGTTGCTAACTTAATTTACCTTTAGTTATTCTGATAGAGTATAGTAGTATCTCGCTGTTTTTTAAATTTGCATTTCCCCCCATGGCTAATGAGGTCAAACATCTTTCCATGCTTATTGGTCATCTTTGTATCTTCTTTGGTGAACCATCTATTCAAACTCAGGACCTTGCACTTGCAGTGCAGGCGGCAGAACCACTGAGCTAACTCCCTGGCTCTTTCACTCTTTTAAAAGATAGATTGTTTGTTTAGTAATTGCTGAGTTTTGAGCATTCTTTATGAATTCTGGGTACAACTCATATTGGATATGTTATTTGGAAATATTTTTTTCCCGTACTGTGGCTTGTTTCATTATCTTAAGTGTCTCTGGCTCTCTTTTATTTTGCTGAGTTGGGGTCTCACTGTGTTGCTCATGCTAGCCTGAACTCGTGATCGTCCTGCCTCAGTTTCCCCAGTAGCTGGGATTACACGGTCATATCATCACACCACCTTTAAGGTGTCTTTCTAAGAGTAGATAATTTTAGCCAGGGCTAGCTGCATATGCCTATAACCCCAGCACTCATGAGGCAGGGTGGGGTAGGAGGATACTCAAGGCCAGTCTAGTATGCATAGTGAGTTCAAAGCTGAACTACCTAGTGAGGCCTTGTCTCAAAAAAGCAACAAACAAAACCAAAAAAAGAGCAGCTATTTTTAATTTTGATGAAGTCTAGTTTATCTTTTTTCCCTTTGATCATTTGTTTTTGGTGTGATATCCAAGAAATCACTGCCAAATCCGGTGTCATGAAAATTTATTCCTATCTTTTCTTCTACGAGTTTTTTTTTCTTTATTTCTTTTTTTGGTACTGGGGATTGAACTCAGGACCTTACACTTGTGCAGCAGGCAGTGGAACCACTGAGCTAAATCCCCAGCCCTCTTCTAAGAGTTTTATAGATTTAGAACTCTGATCCATTGAATTAAATTTTGTATATGGTGTGAAGTAAGGGTTCCAACTTCATTCATTTGCATGCAGATAGCTAGTTACCCCAGCATTATTTGTTGGAAAGACTGTTTTTCCCCCTTAAGTTGTCTTGGAATCTTTGTGAAAATTAACAAACTATGCATGGGTTGGGGATGTAGCTCAGGGTTACAGCACTTGCCTAGTATATCCAGAAGCCTTGTATTCAAGAACTAGTACTCCTTTCCTGCCACCATCAGCTAGCCATATAAGGTTTTATTTCTGAACTCAAATTCCATTCCATTACTGAACTATATCTGTATCCCTATGCCAGTGTCGCACCGACATAATTACTGTAGCTTTGTAGGATCTTAAAATTGAGCAGTGTCTTCTATGTCCAGCCATCTTTTTCAAAATTGTTTTGGCTTTTCTTGTTGTTTCAGTTGCAGTTGTTTCATCTGTAGATCAGTTTGGGGAAATTTGAAATCTGAAACAATATTTACAGATACTGACACATGGTATATATCTCTCCATTTTTATTTAGGGTTTTTAAAGGTTCTTTTGTCAGTGTTTGCTAGCATTCAGTGAACTAGGTCTTATACATGTTTCATTTCATTTATACTTTACTTGCATTTTTGTGCCTTTTGGGTGCTATTTAAACGCTATCTTGAAATTTTTCACTTCTGCTTGTTCGTTGCTTATGTATAGAATACAGGTGCTTGTTTCTATGCAAAAGCAAATGTATCGAAATACAATTGCTTATATCCTATGAATTTTCTAAACAGGCATATTAATTCTGGTCATAATTGTTCTGTAGATTCTTTTATTTTTTATTTATTTATTTATTTATTTTTTTGGATACTGGGGCTCAAACTCAGGTCCTTGCACTTGCAAATCAGCTGCCAGAACCACTGAGCTAAATCCCCAGCCCCGTTTTGTAGATTCTTCAGGTTTTTCCACATAAACAATCAGGTTATCTCTAAATAGTGAATTTGTTTTCTTTTATAGTTTTTATGTTTTCTTGTGTCTCATTGCATGGTCTACAACCTCCACTACAATGTTAAATAGGAGTGATGAGAGAAAGTAGCCTTGCTTTGTGCTCTGTTCTAGGGGAAAACATTCTTTCTCCATTAAATATGATGTTAGCTGTAGTTATTTTTTTTTAGCTATAGATTTTTGGATGTGTCATTGAACAGATTAAGGGACTTCCATTCTTAATTTGGTGAGTTTTTTAAAAATCACAGATATGCGTTGCATTGTTAAAAAAGTTTTAATAACTATTGAAATACCATGTAGTTTTTCTAATTTAGTCTATTAATCTGGAGAAAGTGATTAACTTTTGAAATAAAACCAGCCTCCATTCCTGAGATAAATATCACTCAGCCATTTTGTGTTATGATGATTTCCTATCTGAGGTAGCTCCTTTCTTTTCTTCTTTCCAGCTTCTCCTTCCTCATTCCTATTTTTATCATCTGGCACCTTCCCCTTTCCTTTCAGCTCTCCCCTAACTAGAACAGCCTTCAGCCTTCACTTTCTTATCTCTCTCTGTCTTCACTCTTGCTTAGCAATACCCAGGGATTTCCTGGCAGCCTGTTCTGAGGGTGGATTCCAAGTTCCTGTGTAGCAGGGGTCTTCTTACCTTGCCATAAAGAGGTTTTTCCATGCCACATGTTTACATAAAGTGATGGTGATGGGATTCCGGAGTGGTCAGGCTGAGGTGAGAGGTGGTGGGTCGGCAGGAGGAGCCAGCCGAGATGGTAGAGCTGGTCATCTGTGCACCTAGGCACATCAGGAGACATGTGGGGCTCTGAGTACTCTTCAGCCGGGAGAGGGCCAGACTTTGGAGTGAGAGAAAGTCTCTTTCTCTTTATGGACCAGGACAAGCTCACACTAGGACCTATCTAGGGAAAGACGGTGTCACAACTGGCATGGCCCTCACATGGCCTCTAGGCCTGGGCTGGTGAAGGACCCTGCTGAGGGTCAGGACCACCTCCAAGCTGTGGTGAGAAAAGCCTTCAGGGAGAATACAGACCTGAGGTGATGACAAAGCTTAGGTTCCAGAGACAAAGATGCTCTTAGAGAAGAATATGGGAAACATTTTTTTGCCTGTTGCTGAGAGACTAAAGTCCCAAGAGGATGGCTCTTTGGGATCCAGACTGGTACCTTCCTTACTGCAGGGCTAAGGTTGAACCCAGGCTTCCCAAAGGATGGAGAGGCCTCAGTGGAAGGTGTGGGGAATGATCTGATGTTAGCTATCTGGGCTTGGAACTAAGAATCAAGTTGTGGGGAGAGGGACTGAGGTGTAGTGTAGTTCAGAGCCTTCACAGTCAGGAAGCCTGAGTGTCTTTATGTGGCTTCCATTCCACATGGCCCAGTGCTAGGGCAAGACCAAAGACAGCATGCTCAGATCCCTGGGAGCTTTACCCTGTGTTGCTCATGCTAGCCAGACTCTGAAATGTGCTACCTAAATTTGTATTTGTGGGGTGTGTTGGACTGTTTTGTTTTCCTAGAGTTTTTCAGTAAATTCCTTTAAAAAAAGTATCCACCTCTGTGTCTCTGCTGACAGAAAAGGTGATGGTGTTTTTACACACATGCACATGTGCACACACACATGCACACACCCTCAGCCAGCTTGGAGAAGGGGTTGGTGAGTAGCAGAGGAAATGGCAGATGCTGCCAGCCTGTGTGGGGTTGCCAGGGAGCCTCAGGATGGTACAAAAGAGTGGCAGCCTGGGGAGGAAGAAGCCAAGGATGCTGATCCCCATTGGCCAGGCCCCTTGTCTTTCCTGCATTCTCCAGACTGTTTAGCACAGTGCTGGGCTTGATGGGGCCTGGCATGTCTTGGGTTCCTGGGAGCTGATCTCTGAGATTAATCGGCCATGGCTTCTCTATGGAAGGGCAGCTCCTTATACCATGCTGGACTCAACTACACTTTCCAAAGTGAAATCCCGTCAACATCAAGGAACCTTCCTTACAATGCCCCTGCACCCTTCAGCAGCAGACCTTCTAGTTTTTGTTACCATGGACACATTCCATGTGCTTATTCAGTGATTCTGCGTCCACAGGGCCATGCTTCATCATGCACCTGCCGAGTTTTGAGCTTGGAGGGTGTCCAGAAGCCAGAGCAGTTATGTTTGTCTACCCCCAGCATTCAACTGTGTGTTAGTCAGCTCTCCCATTGCTGGGACACAATACCGAATCCCTGTAATTTCAAGATGGAGTATTTATTTTGGCTCATGGTTTCAGGGGATTCAGTCCATAGTGACTGGCTCTAGGGCGGAAACATCATGGCATAGGGCAGAGCAGAGCAAAGCTGCTCAGTTCACAGTGTCAGGGAAGCAGGGGCATAGAGCCAGAGCTACATGCTCTCATCAGTCATACCTTCAGTGATTCACCTCCTACAAAGGGCTCCCATCTACGAACAGCACATTCATCTGTGAACTCATCATGGGTTAATGCACTGATGAGTACAGTGCCCCTGTGATCCAGTCATCTTCCAAAAGCCCCACCTCTGAACGAACACATGGGACTTTTAGGGGACATTTTATTTTATTTTATATTTATCTTGGTTTTTTTGAGACAGGCTCTCACTATGTAGTTGAGACTGACTTGGAACTCACTATGTAGCCCAGGCTGGTCTCGAACTCACAGTGATCCTCCTGCCTCAGCCTCCCGAGTGCTGGAATTAAGTAGGGGACATTTTAGATCTGAAGCATAACAAGCTGGGCACAAGGGGTCCTTGGCATTTGTTTGCTGGTGTTTGCTAAGGTGTGGGCTGGGAGCTCCATTGTTTGGGGTTGGGAGGATCGGGATCAAGCCGCTGGTGACCAGGACCTGCTCCAGGCCTCCAGGCCTCAGCTCGGTGTCCTTGTCTCTCTCTCTCTCTCTCTCTCTCTGCAGCTTGTCTCCAATGTCCTCATTTTCTCCTGCACCAACATTGTGGGTGTCTGCACCCACTACCCGGCTGAGGTGTCCCAGAGACAGGCCTTCCAGGAGACCCGGGAGTGCATCCAGGCACGGCTCCACTCGCAGCGGGAGAACCAGCAGCAGGTGAGTGAGGGCAGTGCAGTCCAGCCCTCCCTGAGGGTGCCCGGGGTTTGATCCGCAGCCCTCCCTGCCCTCACCCACAGTGCCCTCACTCAGCTCTGTGGTTAGTGCAGAAGCCAAGCTGCAGGTGGTACCTCCTCCCTCCCAGGCTCCCAAGACTCGGAGAGGTGAGAGCAGCCAGCATTTCCACTCCAGATTAAGGTGCTTCTCTGGGGAAGATGAGAAGACAGGGGACAGGTGGTATCGGCCCGAGGCAACCCACACCTGACTCTTCCTCTCTGCTCATTTTTGGGTGAGGTTGATTCAGAAAAGAAAGATAGTTGTGTCTCTCCCCAGACTGCCCTGGGGCAGGAAGTCTGGCCATTCATAGGGCCCTGGACTCTGGCTAGGCTCCCCCAGGGCTCTAACTGTCCCTACCCTGGGGAGTGGGTCTCGCTGGCACTCAGATCTGGGTCGGCACAGGCCCCTCTCCTGAGAGTGGACCAGGTAGAGGTCTGGCAACAAGACAGTGTGGAGCAACGAAGCTTCCACACAGGAGCTTGGGGTGGGCAGCAAGCCCCGTGGTGACAGTGGCAGTCAGCAGGGCTGTGGGCCAAGCAGGACTCTCATGAGCTGAGGTAGAAGACAGGGTCTTCCCCCCAAACCCTTAGCTACATGCTGTGTCAGGCCCCAGGGCAGTCACCTTTGGGCACGGGGACAGGCAGATGATGGGCAAGACAGCAGTGAAGCGCATGCCGTGGCCAGCTGGGTGCAGTACAGCCCCGCTGCAGCGTGAGTGTCTCTGGCTCTGTGTGGATGTGTGCTAGGTGGTTACAGTGGCCAGTGACACCCAGACTGCCACACGAGGGGGTGAAGCTCCACAGTGTCTCTTCAGGTCCTCTTCAGTCTTGCCTGTCCCCACTTCCCTTTGAGCACTGCCTCAGTGGCCACTGTGTCTTGCCAGGTGTCCCACTTAGACTTGTTGAGGCCTGACTGTTCCCATTCACTCTGGCCCTGTCTGGACTCCTGGCCCAGTCTCTTGAAGGAAGCCTAGCTCAGCAGTGTCCTGGAGTCTTCCTGCTGTCCTTTGTCAGCAAGCTTACCTCACCTCTGGCACACAGCGCTCTGTACATCCCCAAGCTTGGCACTCCTCAATGCCCCATCTCTTCCCTGTCTGGGCCCAGTGCCTCTGCTCCTGGACTGGGCACCTTCCTTCCCTCCCCTTCATGTCAGGACTGCCCCCTCTGACTTCTGGGTCTCACCCCTTCTCTAGGACAATGATCACTTTCCAGCTCATTGTAGCTTACTTGCTCTGGCCCTGGCCAGGCTGTATATGCCACCAAATCTGCTGGGATTTGGGCAGAAACTTTTTGTCAAACCATGTTCAGGGCCAAGGCATAGGTGGAGTAGGGTGGGGGGGTGGTCAGTTTGATTCCTGAGGCAGCTCCTCGGCCAACTGGAGGAAAGAGCTCAGACCTCAGTGTAGCTCATAGGTGCTGTGTGTAAGGGGATTTAGAATTGTGGGCCTGTCTGCCACTGTCAGCCAGCCCTCAGTCCCAGATGTGGTTACAAAAAAGGAAGGTTTCTTGTGAGTCTAGGTTGTAGCACTTTCTCCCAGTTTCCTCTGTCACAGAATTGTCCTTTAGTTCCTGCTTTCACTGGTAGCTGAGTCCGCTACATGTGAGGTGGCTTTCAGTGGTTATGTGTGCTGATGCCTGGATACCAGACAGACTGAGGAGGGCTACGTCTTTACTGATTTACTAGTTTCCCAAGCATAAGGCCCTGGGCCTTGGCACTGGAGAAGACACAGCTCCTGTCCCAAGGAAGCTCTGCTTGTATCCGCCAGAGGGAGACACTGTTAACTGCCCTGATGCACTGGGTAATCGGGGCCTCTGTAAAAGTTCCCCCTTGGGCTGGTTTGTACTTCTCTTGGTCCTTCACTGTCAGCTTATTCCTCCTTTGCCTGGGTCCCAGCCCCCTGTGAAGTTGAACTTCCCCATCCCTGGTGTCTGCAAAGCCATATCTGTTCACACTGCTTTTCCACAGTTTAAGTCGTGGTGTCTCTGCTCAGTGACCCCAAGAGATGGAGTGCTTTGAGACTCCCGGCACCCAGAATGATGCCTGGAACATGTAGGTTCACAGTATATATTTGATGACTAGGACTGAATGAATCTCATTTAATGCTGTCAACATTAAATGTTTTGGCTCAGAGTTCCGTGGTTTGCCTAAGGTCGCACAGCACCTCAGGTTCTTACCCACAGTGCTCTCTGTCAACACCTGTAGGTTCACTGGGAGTATCCTGTCCAGGGTAGCATGATGGCAAACCAGGGTAAGGACCAGGGTGTGTCCCAGGGAGATGAGGCTATGCACAGAGGTGCCATTCTTGCAAGTCTCAGAACCCGAGAAGTCTTCCAGGGCCCTGCCTGCAGGCGCACAAGTGCAGACAGGAGGGGACTTATCAGGAAGTAGAAGGAGTGGTTATGAAGCCAGGCCTTTGTCCCCAGGAGCGGCTTCTGCTGTCAGTCCTACCCCGTCATGTTGCCATGGAGATGAAAGCAGACATCAATGCCAAGCAGGAAGATATGATGTTCCACAAGATTTACATCCAGAAGCATGACAACGTGAGGTAAGGGTGAGGCTGGGAGAGGCGTTAGCTGGCAGGATGGGAAGACTGAACGGCAGAGGAGACACCCCACTTCTTTCCTTTAAGGGAACACATCCCAGTAGGGTGGCTGGGGTTCTAGAGTATGTATTCGGAGCAGGCCGGCCCTGCCCCTCCAGGCTGGAGTGAGTTAGCACTGTGCACAGTTGAACTTTCTTTGGAAGCTGAAGTGGGCCGCAAGGATTTAGGATAGGACAGAGAAAGAAGGGGAGAAAAAAGCAACACCAGTTGTTGGGAGAACCCTAGTCTGAAAGGCGGGGGAGGCACTGGCTTGGGACAGCAGTCTCCATTGTCACCTGGCAGCCTGCGTGCCTTCTAAGCCCATGCCTGCCTGGCATGACACAGGCATTGCCACCTTCCCACTGATCTCCCCACACCCCGGCAGGGTGGGGACAAATGGCACTTCTGGTGTGTGGATCAAGCTCAGCATGGCTGAGAGCCTTGGCCAGGTCCCCTGCCAGTAGTGGCAAAGTCAGGGTGCTCCCAAGCCAGCCTGCTTCAACCCCCACCCCCACTGTGTCTTTGCTGTCTCTAGACAGTAGCTGCTGACGGCAGAGACATGCAAACAGATGTAAATTAATAGAGTGCAAAATCTGCTTATGAGTTCCATAGGGGCATGGAGTGATCCAGTGACCTTTATCCATCATGGCTCCCAGAGAGCCCACCAACCTTCTCTTGGACCCAAAAGTGCCACTGTTCGTGATTTGAGAGGGTTACTTCTCTCGCATTTCTTTCCTTACCTGGGGGGCTTGGGCTGCATTTCTAATAAAGGGAGTCAGCAGGTGGTGCGATGCCCATTGTGACCCACAGTGAGTGCACTCAGAGTGAAGGTGAGATTGATGGCAGCAGGCAAGGGCAGTGCTAATATTGTTTCTGATACTCAGGTCCCACAAGTATAAGATTGGCCCAGTTGTCATCCCTATCTTACAGTGAGAAAACTGAGGCATGAAGTTGTATAAGTTGCCCATGATCCCAGAGCTAGTGAAGTAGGAAAACTGCCCCCAGGAAGCATTTTGGCTTCAGAGTTTTCATCCAGCCTGACTCCCGCCAGATGGAGTGATACACTAGGAGAAGGAGTTTGGATTCAGACTCTGCTCAGATGGTTTGGGAAACCCTCAGACCAGCTTCCAGGGTGTATGTGTGTCCATGTGACTCAGGAGCCACCAGGGCTCCCTGAAGTCTGGGGTCTCTACCCTGGGACATACAAAGAATCAGCCTTCCTGACTAGGACAAATCCTAAAAGCTCAGCTTCCAGATGGGAAGGGGTGGCTGGAAAGCAGCCCTGACATACGTGCACTGAGCTCCTGACCACCCCTTTCTGGAATTTTCTCTCTTGGTCCTGTTTACATCGCCCCTAACCCTGGCTTTGTCCCCTGCAGAGTTTGGACAGAGACACACACATTCTCTTATCTCCACAGAGCTTTTTGCAGCACTCACGTAAACCTGTACCAAGGAAATCCAGGGAACTTGCTGCTCAGAAACGGCCTGGCACTGAAGGCATAGGTTCTCGGGCTGCCTTATACTTCTTGTCCAGTCCCTGTCCTCCTAACACGTGCCCTTTGCAACAGGGCAGGCATCATCCTGCTCCCTGTCTCAGGCTCCCCCAGGCTCCAGCAAGGAGTTTGACTTGCGAGTTTGCTAACTCAGGCCTCTGTCACGGTTATTCCTCTAGGCGTGGCGCATCTCAGCCGATACCGCCCTTCTTTATTCCCTCTGCATAGGCAGTGACCTGGGGTCAATCACAGTACATTGCCCTGAGCCTGAGCCTCCGGTTCCAGCCACAGAGGGGAATTTCTGTCGCTGATTTGCCAGGATCAATGACCAAGCAATCAGGAGAGAGATGAAAGGAGAGACAAACTTAAGAGCCCGTAGTGTTCATGGAGAAAGGGGGCTGGTGCACATCAGAAGCCAGCCACCAGCAATCATGCAAATATCCCGCCAGGGCTCCTTTCTTGAGGCCCTTAGCCCAGCATGCAGCCCTAGGTGAACATACAGCTCTTGCCCTGTCTCTTTTGAGAGATTGGATTTTGGTATGGGTTGAGGGTTGAGTAATAATGGAGTGACATCTAGTTTCAAAACAGTTGTTGGAGGGCTGGGGATTTAGCTCAGTGGTTCCACCATCTGCCTCGCAAGTTCAAGGTCCTAAGTTCAATCCCCAGTACCAAAAAAAAAAAAAAAATGTGGGGAACTAGGGACATAGCTCAGTGGTAGAGCACCTGCTTGGTATATGTGAAGCCCTGGGTTTCACCCTCCTGTACCACACATGCACACTCCTTAAGGAGCCAGTGGGTACAGAGGTTAGGCCTGGGCTCTAGGATTAAGCAATCTGCACACTATCCTAACTGCTGTGTCCTGACTGTGTGACCAGAGCAAGTTACAGGCAGCAAGCCACTCTGAACCTCTATTTCCTCATCTGCAGAACAGCACAGCAAGAGTACCGTCTTGGTAAGGTTGTAAAGAATGAATGGAATAATACAAGAAAATGTATGGCATAGTATTTGGCACATAGATGTTCAATAACTGGGTGGTGCAGTGGTTATTACTGTTATTTTCATGATTGTTATCACACTACCCAACAGAAAGGCCCAGGAGCCTCTTGCTGGGACTGGAGGGGTGATGAGTCACATTCATCAAATCTGCTCGGGTTGTAATATTAAAGAGGGCGATGACATGCTGTTCTCTAGTCCCCCAGGAGCAAGGCCACAAGAGCAATAATTCAGCTCTACAGTATGATGGATTGGGCTGGATCTAACCACAGATAGGGTGCTAGGGTGAAGAGCATGACCTGGGCAGCAATGGAGTACATAGGGCCACCCCGCTCTGTGGTTTCACAGCATAGAGTTCCTGACCAAGGAGCCTGCGAGCTCTTTTGGTGCTGGGCTGAAGTAGGCCAGAGGCCAGGGAGCCCCTGGAGACCTCATCCCAGAGGCCCCAGAGGTCTCTAGTCTGATATGTGGTGACAGATGGAGCATGTCACTCCCTCTGGCTGGGTGGCTCAGCTGCAAACCCCCACCAGAATATCAGGCCTGTGGTTTTCAAGCCCCTGCCTCCATCTCAAATACCTGCTTCTCAGCAGTGCAAGGTGGCAGAGGGGGAGGGGGAGGGGGTGGGCTCTGCCCTCCTTACTCCTCCAGGCCACGCTCCAGGAGCAAAGAGGTCTCTGGGAGCTCTGTCTGGGGAAGACAGAGACTAACCAGCCTCTGAAGAGCTGCAGGAAGGGCCAGCTGGAGAAGCTGCCACACCACGGAGCTCAGGTAGAGGTGAATACAGACGGGCACACGTGCCACCTATCAGCCTTGCCAAGCAGTCACGCTGTGGCATGGAGCAGAATGAGTGTCAGCATGGAACACACTGGTGCCCGTCCCAGGTCTGCCTCCTTGGAGCTCTGGGAGCTTGGACAGGCACTTGGCCTGCGCCTCATTTTGCCATCTGTAACCTAGAGATTGACGCTGCCTTTCCCTTGACTGTTACCACCAAGTGGGGAACACAGGGGCACAACCTAAGGGACACACCCCTTCTGACATGGCGAAGTGTCCTTCTTAGAGAAGATCCACTGAACAAGTGTCAAGTTGCCAAGTTCTCACATGCCTGCCTTGTTTGAGGCCTTTGTGGGCAACGACACATGGACTTTGCGGAGTACAGATAGCCACTGTCACAATAGCGAGAAAAGGTCCACAAGGAGGGTGTGTAAGAGGGGCCCAACCTGGCTGGCATGGGGTCTCTGGGAGGAGACGGGAGGCAGGGTGACTGCCAGGCCAGAGTCAAGGTCTGGTGAAGGGGTGGGGCAAGCCAAGGATGCCCCACTTCCAGAGGCTTCTGAGTGAGCACGGCTCCACACCTGACCTAGCTGGAGCCTGCTGGGTTTTAAAAGTTGTAGATGGCAGGGGATGGGCAAGGGTTCACTCCAGACTCCACTTCATAGGAAAGGAGAGAAGGCTGCCTGTTGTAAGAGCCACTGGTCCATGCAACGAAACCTTTGTCCCAGAGCTCCACCTCTTCCCACCCCTCTGTCTCTGGGTCTAGGGTGGAGCGGGGGGGGGGGGGTCATCACCTTGGTTCATCAGCTGGAACTAGAGCTTCATTCTCAGGCACCCGGAGCCCTGGGGGCTGCAGGTGGGGTCCTGGCAGAGCTGCTGCTGAGCTTGGCCTGGGAGAAGCAACCAGCCCCCTTACGCACACGCGCGCACATATACACACACACATGCATGTGCACACACGGAGACATGCAGGGTCCTGGGGGTGGGGTGCCTGCCCAGTCCCTTTCTCCTCTGATCCTTCTCCCTAATACCTCCCCCCTTTAAAGGTTATTATCTCCTCTTGTCTCTTTCGAGGACTTGGCCGCATTCCCCAGGTTGTTCTGGCGTCTGGCTCAGTGGTGGTGTGGTCCCGAATTATAATGACCACGCCATGGCGTCTGAGGAGATACCTGTGGGGGGATCGTAGCCCCCTGTGGGCCGAGGGTGGGAAACACTCCGGTCACGTCCTCATCCGTCTGACCCAGGCTGAGTGGAGCGGCTGTAAACACCTGCACTCCTCGCTCTGACGCGGCACCGTGGGGTGTGCCGAGCTCCACTCCCAGACCAGTTAGAACGCATGTTTTCTTTATGTTATTATTTTATCCACTCCACAGACATTTACTGGATGCTACCGTGTGCCAGGCCATGATTATGAAAAAGACATGGTTCCCGCTCCTTAGGGAAGGAGTGCCCGGGCCCCAAGTGAGATTGGGGCTGTTAGAGCGCTGCGGGTCCCTCTACGGGGTGGATCCTTTTAAAACTATTTAAATATTTAGTTATGGTTAAAAAAAAATATATATATATATACACAGCATAACATTTACCGTCTTTGAACATTACCATTTTAAAGTGTTTAATTCAGTGACGTTAGGTACATTTACATTATTTCACAGCGCTCTCCAGAACTGTTTCATCTCCCCTAACCCGACCTGTGTGCGTCCCCCCGCC